AAACAAGGTAGACCAGCAAGACATACTTTCTTGACACCGCTTAGGACACAGTTATTCAGGGAACCACCCAGTTGGAGATGCCCAGGGCTAACTAAGGAAGCAGGATTTTCATACCTTCCAGGGCCAAATGTGAGTGTGTCCTGCTCAATGCCATATGGGGAGAGCATAATGCCTCCCTTCACTGAAAAGAAGAAAGAGACAGCAGCTGTTGCCCTAAGAACCTACCCAAAAGTCTCTGAATAGATCCTATCTGATGCAGAAGTGAGGGTTTACTTGTCAAAGAATTACTGTTCCCATGTGGTTCCAGATCCCCTACACTATGATTTACTTGTCAAAGGAGTAAAGGAGACCACAGAAAAGTAAATAAATGTATAGGAGAATGGATTGTAAAGCTTCTTTTTCATTGCTGTTCCCATGTGGTTCCAGATCCCCTATGCTCTCAGTACCAAGACAGGCAGCTGATGGCGTGGTGGTTAAAGCAGCTGAATCCCACATGGCGGACTGGCAGTTCAAGTCCTGGACCCAGTGGCTTGAGAAACACTCGGGGCAGGGTGTGCCCAAAATCTCGAGAGGAGAATTGACAAGAGGGGATTGTGGTGTGGCCATCTACCCTAGTGAGTATTTTCTCACTTTCTTTCTCCCTCTCTGGCAAGTACATGTGCCCTATAGTAAGTTAAAAAAGAAGAAAGAAAGAAAAAGAAAGAAAAAATGATAAGAATGCAATAAACATGGGTAACAACCTACAGTATTTTCCCAAGGGAAGTAGCTTAAGCAGTACAAGTTGATTTTTATTTTTAATTAAACAGACTCTCTAATGGAGCTCAGCATTGTGGACTTCTGACAGCAAGGGAAAGATTGCTACTATCAGCCTTTAATTTTGTAAGTGAAGAAAACAAAGCCAGAAAAAATGACTTTGCTGAGGTCACACAATTAGCAGAGCTGGGACCAGCACCCAGGCCTTTGGCTTTGGGGGCCATTTTTCAAATTCTTGAAGGGAGAGAAGGGTAGGCTTCTCCTCACAGATGTGGAAGGGAGGCTGGTAAGGGATTAGCACATAGGCCTAGGTTCTGGCTCCTGACCATTGGTGGGGCTGCTCCCCAAATAGCTCTCTCAGTTCTGGGACAGCTGGGGCTTCTGTGGGTGGAGCCGAAGGTGAGAATGGGAAGACCAGCTGGTTGTGCATATCAGTGGAATGGGACCAAAATTCAGAAATGGCAACAAACTAATCCTCTAAAAACCTGAAGGCTCAGCAGCGGCAGCATGCACTAGTTGACACTGCTACTCAGCAGGCTGAGGCCATGGGGGAGGCCCCAGAGAGAGTCATTGCTACTTGGGAGGGCAAGGTGGAAAGATCGAGACACAGTGAGACCTTGCCTAAAACAAAACAAAACAAAACAAAACAAAAACTTAAAGGAGAAATAGTGAACATTCCCATTCTTCAGATTCAAACTGAAATGTCAGTGAGGGATAATACAGAACAGAAATGAAATGTGCAGACTCCAGGGGAGAAATGGAGTATTTTGCTTTCAGGTTGTTGAATCTCCCAAGTGACGAGAGAAGATGCTGGTAGGGAACTCTGTGAATGATGGAACAATATTGCCTAGTATGTCTACAGATGACTCCTATTCTTGCTTGTCCCTCTATTCCTGGTCTTGAAACACATTTACTTCCAGAACTCGAGGCAGAAGAGATGATTGGATCCCACCAAACAAGCAGATCCATGGCTAAGATGCTTGTCCAGCTAAGCCAGAGCAGTATGGAATAGTGAAACTCTACAGTCAACATTGAATGTTGGTTGTATGCCCTTGATGGTGGAGAAGCGTGAAGAAAATAGCAACGGGGTCTTGCTCATCCTGAACAAACAACTAGATCAAGTGAATTCAGGTCAACTATGTTTCTCAGAGGCCATCCACACCGAGGTCCTCTCAGACACTAAAAAGAGTGTGACTGAAAACCAAATCCAGTGCACTGTTCCCAAGCTCAGGACAGAGGACTGAGTGCTTTGCATCATTTCCAGGCAATAAAGGGGGTGCTGACCACAGCTGTTGTACTAGCTTTAAGAGACTCCGAGCCCATATGTTTTCCTACATTTGTTATTATTTTTTACCTCTTTTTAGAGTTATTTTTTTTTTGAGAGGTTTTTGCCATAGGACGCGTGTGCTCACCAGACAGATAGAGAGACAGAAAGCGAGAAATTCCCCCCCAGGGGAGATGGCCACGTTGCAATCCCTTCTCCTCCATTCTCCTCTCGGAATCTTGGGCATGCACGCACACGTGCCTGGCGTGAGTTTAAGCCACTGGGTCCGGGACTTGAACCACGGTCGACTACATGGGAGTCCAGCGACATAGCTATTATGCTAACTGCTGGTCCCGAGGTTTTTGCTTTAGGACATGCACGGTCACTGGAGAAAGAAAGAGACACTGAGGGAAAGTGAGAAATCACACCCTGGGGGAGATGGCCATGTTGCAATCTCTTCTTTACTCTCCTTCCAGAATCTTGGGCACTCATGCGGACATGCCCAGCCTGTGTTTCAAGCCACCGGGTCTGGTACTTGAACTGTGGTCAGCTACATGGGAGTCCAGTGACATAGCCACTACACCATCTGATAGCTCCTTCTCTACATTTATTAAGCACCTATTGTATGCCAGAGATTGTTAAACATGAGTGACCCTACAAAGGAACAGACAGACAAGATCCCTGTTCTGGAGGTGGGGGACGATCAAAATAATAATGGGGGCTGCTCACAGGTCATCCCAGTGCCAGACTGGGCCCTGAACAGGTGTTCATGGACCAACTTTCCAGATGAACTTAAGCAGAAGGGACAGGTGGGAAAGCAGCAGATGCCCAGTGTGTTGTGCCAAGCACAGGCCCAGACAGGAACTGTGGGGACAGGTAGGTCAATGCTTATTAACTAAAGGACCCTCTTGAGGTTAGGGCTGGTGAGGAGTATGCAAGGCATTTAGGCTCTGAGGGGCTTAGATCTGAGAGTATTTTCTAGGGTCCCATTACTGGGTTTAAGAAGGAAGCGGGGGGGGGGGCAACAGGTGGTGTGGTGGTTAAGGGCGCTGGATTCCCACGTGGTCGATCGTGGTTCAAGTCCCAGACCCGGCGGCTTACTTTCTTACTTTCTCTCTCTTTTGCTCTGTCCCTCTCTGGTCAAATTAAAATAAATAAATAGATAAGTAAAGTTAATAAAATAAGTCTTTAAAAAAGAAAGAAAGAAAGATGCTGGGGATCAGTCCCATTCTTCTATTCTTGGCACTTAGGATTCGGTTGAAAATTTCCCCCAGCAAATCTCTTTCTACACTTCCCGGGACTGCCCAAGCTCTGGCCGTTGGTGGCAGTTACCTAAGGAGACAGCCTATTCCTGGACAAGCTTACTGATATTTAAGTGTTTTTCTTAGTTCTTTTTATACTATCTGCTGATATCAGGAATCCAGAAATGAATAAATGACACTGAATAATGATTAAAGTTTATGGTGGGCTTAAGAGAAACTTCTCCCAAACTTTATGCTCATGAAAGTTAAAATAGAAAATGTGTGATGCCTTGACTTTTCCAGCTCTTTCCGGGTGTGGCGGGCGGGTGCCACTGCTGTCAGAACCCAGTCACCCGCAGGGCCCTCCGCGCGAGTGTGACAGAACCTGACGTTCCAGGCCCATGCGGGTTCTGACCGTAGAACCATGGCCAGAGGAGTGGCACCCGCGCCCACCTCTTCCCAGCTGAGGGTCTGCAAGCCGAGTTGTTCCGGCCCTGTCCCAAAGAGGAGGGTTTTGAAAGTGGCTGCTGGTTGAGATGCTTGTGTAGGGGACTATGGGTGTTGATGCCTCTTTCCACGCACAAAGCGATGTTGGTTGCGGGTCCGCTGGCACCCGCCGACACGATCAGTACCAGCAACCCGGGACCTGGGACTTCCACAAACTCTGCCTGGCTAGCACCGACTCGCCGACTAGGTTCTGCGGCGCCCAGCGGTCCAAGGTGTCCGCTCGGGTCTTGAGCCGCAGGCGACTCCCGTCCTCCTGTTCGCACCCATGCTGCGCTCCCTCTAGATGCCACCTCTCCTGAGCCACTGAGGGACCCGTTGGTCGCTGGCTAGGGTAACTGTTAGGGGTCCGAAGCGCCAGATTCAGGGCAGGGGAGCGCGGTCGGCGAGTGGGGAGGGGGCGGCTGGGCGGGGAGGCCGGGATGGGAGGCGGTGCAGCGCGGCTCAGGGGCTGGGAGGCAGTTCAGTTCCGGAGGAGCGAGTGGAGAGGCCGGGGCGGGGCG